ATTAGTTTTTTTAAAGTCAGCAAGAAAGTAATGGGTTTCCTTATCACATTTTTGTACATATGTGCCATTATACTTTGTTCTTATTAATCACCATCCCTTACTGCCTTCTCCCATCTTCCCTGCCTGCCTTTTGCTGATCCTGTTCCTCTCCCATTACCCTGTCTCTCCCCTAAAACTTCCCTCTTAAGGTTTCTTCTTCCCCTATCATGACGTCCTTCTTGATTTCACACACACACACACACACACACACACACACACACACAACCTACACATATGAGAGAAAATATGGTGTTTCTTCCTGGCTTACTTTGTTTACTTAAGCACTTTAAGTACTGCTGATTTTACTACAGACATCATGATTTCATACTTCTTTACATTTTCTTTATCTAAGTATTGGTTGATGGACATTTGAGCTGGTTCCACTTGTCCACTATTGAAACTAGAGCAAGAAGCACAAATATGGAAGTATCCCTGTGCTACTGTGCCTTAGAGACCTTCAAGTGTCCACCTAGGACAGAGTCATATACTTATCCTAAATTGGTTGTTTTGCTTAAGACAGGGTCTTGAACCTGTGATGATCCTCCTGCCTTGGACTTCCAAGTTCTGGGATTACAAGTATGAGCCAATACACTTGACTTCTAGTTTTAGTTATTTGAAGTACCTTCACACCGGCTTCCACAGTGGATTCACAGGTTTACCATCCCGCCAGAAGCACAGAAGGGCTCATCTTTCCCAACATTCTTACCAGCATTTGCTTTTTTTTCTTTTTGATGATAGCCTTTCTGACAGGAGTTAGATGGATTCTCAATTCAGTCTTAACTTGCATTTCCCTGACTCATTCATATTTCAATTCCTGTTACAAAACAACATTTGTGATTAACTATTCTTCTGCAACATATTTTCTTAAGACAGGGTTTCATACTGGGTGTAATGGTACGTGCCTATATTTCCAGCACTCAAGATGCTGAGGCTGCAGGACCACCACAAGTTCAAAGCCAGCCTGGGCTACATGGGAAAATTATCTGTCAAAACTAAAGGAACAAATCAAAAATCTTCTTTTTCCATATTAATTTGACTAAATCAGTAAATAATTTCTGTTTGGATGCTGCTTGAATTCTTATGTTCAAAGGTAGTAGCTACATCCAAGGGCTTTACCTGATTATAAAATTCTGCAATTCAGAATATGTAAAATTTGGTGCAGAAGTATTAGTAAATATATTTTTAATAATTTTTCTGTTTCTTTATATTCCTTCTTACCATCTCATATATTAGAAATCAAACCTTATGACCACTTTTCAAAATTATTTTAAATGTATTTTATGTAAAAGAGATTTTCAAAATAAGGAACAACTTTTCTAGGTTATAAATTCAAGCTTCCTTCCTTTTCTTTTTTGATTCTAGATCTCATTCTGTACCATGGATCATCCTGAGACTCCCTATATACATCAGGCTAGCCTTGATCTCATGTAGGCTGTCCTGACTCAGCTGCCCACTGTCAGAACATGGTCAAAAGAGTGACCCATGGTGAACGATGCCTTGGGGAACTATGAGAGAGACTCCGGGAAAAAAGGCAGAGCGCCTTTTACCTCAGGTGCATTCTGTTCCCTGGATTGTTTTCTTGGACATGATTTCGTGCCTCCTGCAACAAACATTTACATTCAATTTATAAGACATGTTCATTCTTGTTGAATGTCAGAACACAGCTACAGAAGCCAATCTGGTCGGTCAGTGTGCCCTGAATCTGGAAATGGCCTTCTGCCTTCCTTTTGTGTTTTCCCTGATATAATCTTAGTACGTGCCAGACAATTGTGTTTAAATTGGTCTGTCCTGGGAAAGTTCTGGGAAAGGGCTGCTCTGTCAATATCTAGCATGTGCTTACTAGCATTTATTTACATGTCTATCTGATCATGTTTTTCTGAACTCAAATAGCCTTCCTTGGATCAGTGCTTTATTTTTTGCGTCTGTGTACAAAAGTACATTGAAACTGAAGAAAGGTTGTCGGCAGCATTAGACTGTATGCAGTCCACAAAGCTCTTTCAGGTCCTCAGATCCCAAGTCTCGAAGACAGATCTGCATAGGGCGATGGTAGTCGACCCCCACATTCTGGCATTACAGACATGGACCGCTGCCCTTGGTTTGATCTGACAGTTTGGGTGTCATAATTATATTATCATCATGTAAAGGGATGCTCATATTCTTAGGAAGCATATGCTAAAAACTTAGGAATGTGATGTTTAATGAGTCCAACAAAGTACTCTCAAAAAGTGTCAGAAAAAGGAACAGAGACAGAGAGAGATGGAAAATAAGCATGGCAAAATAATACACCAAACAGATGTACTTTATGGAGTTATGGGTGCTCATTGTATTATCTCAAAAGAATAGAAAGAAATCATTGTTTTTGAGCTTGAGAAGTTTTTGTAGTTCTGGAGAATATTATAAATCTATTAGACATTCACGTCATAATAGATTTTTTTCGTTTTTTAAAAACAAGATATCTGAGCGTGGTAGTACTTGCCTCTCATGCCAGCACTTGAAAGGTACAGGCAGGAATATCAGGAGTTCAAGACCAATCTCAACTACTTAGGGGTTTCAAGGCCAGTCTATACTAAATGAGGCCCTATCACATAAAACCAAACAAAACATAATTCCCATTGTGGTATGGATATTTAAGGCAGATTTCAAATACTGTTTATACCAACAACAAGCTTCTCAAGCTCAGAAACAACTGGGTCAGACAGGCTAATGTAACGAATGCTCTAAGAGTGTCAGTATGATGGGCGGTGGTGGCGCACACCTTTAATCCCAGCACTCGGGAGGCAGAGGCAGGCGGATCTCTGTGAGTTCGAGGCCAGCCTGGGCTACCAAGTGAGTTCCAGGAAAGGCACAAAGCTACACAGAGAAACTCTGTCTTAAAAAACCAAAAAAAAAAAAAAAAAGAGTGTCAGTATGAACAGTCCGACCAACCCAAGTCTGTATTTAAGTATAGACAGATGTGCACTAAAGAAAGGATGTTTGAGGTCTAAAAATGATTAGAACTAAGTCCACTCACGAATGCAATCCTCATCTTTAGTACCAAAAAGAAAACTTCCTTTAAATCATCCAGATAACAGTTTAAAAAGCCATATCACTATAAAACCATATTCATTTTTAGTATGTCTTGCCACACAAAACAACACTGCCCCACCCCTGCTGAACTGAATCGAGACTGAAATTCAATGGGAATGTACTCTGATTTCTTTTTCCTTCTCTAGAAGTCATCCACACAACTGAGGTCAAGAGCAATGGTGCCCCTGCATGTTCTGCTTATGTTGTTACGCCTTCTTGTTAAAATGCAGGCTCTAAATAATGTAGCTAGTAAAAGAGGAGTGAAAGCATACAAGAAAGCATTTGAAGGCCGAACACAGCAGTGCAGGCTTGTGACCTCAGTACTGAGGAGGCTGAAGCTCAGGACTGCTGTAAATCTGTAGACATCTTGAGCTACAGAGTGTGCTTTAGGTCGTCCAAGGCTACGTAAATAGACTTTGTCTCAAAACGGGCGCACGCGCAGACACACACACACACACACACACACACACACACACACACACACACACACACAATTTTATTTTATCAGAATCAAACTCATTGGTGCTTGCCTATAATCCTAGCACTTTGGAAAGTGAAGCAGGAAGTACACAAGCCGCAGTCCAGCCTTCATTAGCAAGGAAGAAGCCATCTCAAAAACTAAAAGGAAGCAGTCACAGAGCCTCAGCCAGGCAGTTTGACTAAGCTGCCCGCTCTTCTGGCTTACTCCGAAAAGCATAAGGTTTCCTTCTCTCCTTTTCTACCTCTGGTCTAGACATGCTTCTGAACATGCATAAATCAAATGTCATGGTTTTCTCTCCCCCCTCTTCATCTTCCTCCTCTGGACAGCTGCTGAGATTTACAGCTTGCCTGCCCTGGAGTTTTTCTTTTAAACGCTAATAAAATTGTCTTTGAGCTTCCAACTTTTAAAAATTAGTTGATTAAAACAAATTTTAAATGAGTTTGACCAAGTCAGTCAGAAATTTCATATTGAAAAAGAACACATCATCCTATGCCTAGTGGCTCGTGCCTATAATTCCAACATTTCCATGAATTCAATACTAGCCTGGTCTACAGAGTTCGTTCTCAGTCAGGGCTACATAATGAAACCCTACCTCCAAAACAAACAAACAAAAATCAATCAAACAAACAAATAAACATACATTGAATTATTTTGAGGAACTAACTACATGAATCACATCTTTGGGTTACGTATTATACATATAGCAGACTTTACACATGAAATCTCTTGCTGCTGTGCTCCTACTAAAGCTTCAAGCGTCATTGCCAACGAGTACATTAAAATCTTGTTCCTCAGCAGGTGTGGTGGATCACACCTGAAATCCCAGCAGGCAGGAGGCTGAGGTAAATTGCTGCTAGTTCACAGTCAGTCTGGGCTACAGAGTGAGACCCTATATCAAAGAAAATAAGTAAGTAAATAAAGAGATAGCATTTTAAAGTTTGGCCTGAAACCTATAATGCCAACTACTCAGGAGGCTTAAAAAGTTCAAGCGCTATTTGGTCTATCTGGCTAGATTTTAATGGAGCCCCTTTCTCAAAAAATAAAAATTTAAATGTAACACAATAGTAAAGTATTTGTCTAGCATGTGCAGGCCCAGAGTTCAATGGCCAGTACTAAAGTGCAAACAATAAGAACAACAACAATGACAAAATAAACCCAAACACTATTTTAGAAATATTCAAAATCTCCAAAACAAAATAAGGAGGTCAGAAAAGGAAGTGTTGAGCCTAATTTTTATTGTAGAACTGTCCAGATTCATTGAATAATTGATCAAGTTCCTAGTCACTCTAATTTAATAAGCTGGAAAGCCTTTCCGATGGCACCAGAGTAGGCTGATAATAAAAAGCTAAGAATGTGTAGGAAGAAAAAGGAGAATAATTGATAAGAGAATCAAAGGACCCAGTGCCTGCCTTACCTTCACCAAATAGTCTGCTCCTTGGATCCTGCCGCGACACGATGACTGATTTAGCAGAGAAGAACTAGCCACTCAAGGCTCTTCCCCCAAAGTTCTCAAGCCTCTCACTGAGGAGACCACCCAAACACTAAGCTGCTCCCTTCTTTGTATAGCTGAGACCATGGAAAAAGAG